CCTAGTAACAAGGAAGCTTCCCTAGTGAAAAAAGGGTTTTTAATTCTGGGACCTCTAGCATGATGCTATACTGATTTCCTACCCTTACTTTAAATAAAAATATTGGATGACTTTTAAAGGATGGCAAAGCAAAGCATCTCTCTCTCTCTCTCTCCTCCCTCTCACACAAAGTGCCAATAGCTTCAGTTTCAATAATTGCAACTGTAAAAACCACCAAATGTAAAATGAAATGGGCATGCATACAAGACAAATTAAAATTAATATATATTTTGATTAACTAAGATATCTGAATTTTCAGTGTAAAAATACAGATATCTATTTCAGTGTAAAAATACACTGAAGCAGTGGTGGAATTCATTTTTTTTTACTACCAGTTCTGTGGGCGTGGCTTGGTAGGTGTGGTGTGGCTTGGTGGGCATGGCAGGGGAAGGATACTGCAAAATCTCCATTCCCACCCCACTCTGGGGCCAGCCAGAGGTAGTATTTGCTGGTTCTCCGAACTACTCAAAATTTCCGCTACCGGTTCTCCAGAACCTGCTGAATTTCACCCTTGCTCTGAAACCATGCTTGCATAGAATTATTTATCCATGACTAAAATACCTTCAGTCAGTCAGGAACAAAAGCACACTCTCTTAAGAATTTTTGAGAGAAGAAGACAAGATCCAGGTACTATTTTCAGAAATATGAGAACTAATACTTCAAGTTAATAGTAGCAAGAGTGGGTGCAACTGGCTTGTAGATGTTGGCTGAATTACACACATTTTAAACTTAAAAAAAAATATTTAGCAACCATAATGGAAGAATTCAAGACAATTTGTCTGTGGATTTAATGGGCTTTTCATTTAGTTCTGGTATAAAACTATCCAGAACAGTTAACAAAATAACAAGAGTTGGAAGGGACCTTGGAGGTCTTCTAGTCCAACCCCCTGCTCAAGCAGGAAACCCTATACCAGTGATGGCTAACCTTTTTGCTGTTGCATGCCAAAAGCAGGGGGAGTGCCATACGCATGTGTGCCCAGACCCATAATTCAATGTGCCCTGCTCCCTGCGCTCCCCTCACTTTTGGAACGTGATAGCACGGTGGGCCCAATAGGCCCATTTTTCACCCTCCCCAGGCTCCAGAGGCTTTCTTGGAGTCCGGAGAGAATGAAAACAGCCTTCCTCCCTTGCGGAGGCCCACCTAAGGGTGGAAACACCCCCCCCATAAGGCCCAAAAATCAGGTGGCTGGCAAGCGCATGCATGCTGGAGCTGAGCTAGGGCAACGCTCGTGTGCCCACAGATATGGCTCCGCGTGCCACCTGTAGCACATGTATTATAGGTTCGCCATCACAGCCCTATACCATTTCAGTTGTTGGATTTAGCCCATTTTACAATGTTAAGAAAAGACACTGCAAAGTTTACATAATTTCATTAGTGACTGATGCTGGGTTGTTTTCGAAGTTCTAAGAGATTGATCAGAGGGCTGTAAGTATAATGCCCTGACAATAAAATCGGACTAGTAAGATAATTTAATATGCTGTAATATTAAAATATTAAATTTGGTTTAAAATTTTCAAACATTTGGGCCACAAAAGCTTACTGAAAAATACAGATGAATCTGTGAGTTTTGGGTTTTTAATATGCTACAATCTTACTCCTTGTGGTCACACACTGCACTCAGCATTCTAAAACATACAAACACAATGCTATTGAAAACAAGCTGGGCCTCTTACAACAAACTGAATTCATTCTTCAGATATTTTGTGAGGGTACTGCAATCCAAACAACAGGCAAATATATATATATATAGTGTTATTCTATACTCTCAGTCTACATATGAAGTAAATTGACATATTGTTACTACTACTTGGTGCAAATTAAGCTGTTGTTATACTGAATTATGAAAGATTTTCAGTTTATTATAAAGCACAACCTGATGCCTTTAAAGATATTGGACTATTGTTGCCATCATATTCAGCATTTTGCACCATGAGATAAGCAGCATATAGAGATAGATAGATAGATAGATAGATAGATAGATAGATAGATAGATAGATAGATAGATAGATGTTCAGCTATTGGTTGACTAATATGTAGAGCTGTAGTTCAAAATCTTGACTTAGCTTCTGGTTGAGATAGGCTTCATGAAAAGCTTTTGACCAATGAAATACTGGGTCTTGTATGTTACAACCATTGTCTTTTCAATTAATAACAAATGCCTTTATCTCACACAAGTCTAAATACTTTATACTAGCACAATTTATATCTAGGTGCAACTTTTTCTTAGTTCTTATTCCAAAAAGGTTAGGGTTAGAAGTTTATAAAAACAAATTCACAATAAAATAAAATCTACAACAAAATAATAGAAAGGCAGATCTGTAATGAATAAGTAATTCTAATCAAGTGGGACTTTTGTCTGACTGTAGGCATGGAAAGGATGGAGTCTACAAATGTCCCCGAACAAGGCTCTTTTTTAAATATAGGCTTACGGCATTTTTAGTTCACATACTGGTGTTCTCTTACAGAGAAACCCAGGAATATCACAAAAGCTTTATTTATTTTCTCTGTAGAATAAAATAAATGAGGCTTGATATACAAACAAGCATTACAAATCTCTTATTCCAGTTCATGGTTTAGGGGAAATCCCTTCCTTTTCCTCAGTTCTTGATTTCAATATGTTCAGGGATATCTTACAGTTCTCCATTTCTTGAAGGCAGTGAATATATTGCTTTTTGGGACATTCACAGTGAATGCAATATCCTTGTAAAAGGAGACTTTCCAGGTGGACAACATGAGGAAGCCACTTCATCCATGGCAATCCATTTGCCTCAATACATCCCAGATGAAAAAACCCTTTGCTGACTTCAAAGGTTAGCATGTTTTCCCAATTTCCTGTACTGGTGCAGCCCAGCAGCTGAAGAATGCAAGCTTCGCCACCTGGGAGCAGCTGCTGGACAGAAAGCCAGCCAAAAGATTTGTGTCAAACACAAACAGCAGCTGCAGAACAAACAGTGCTCACCTAACTGGCTTTTGGCAGCAAGAAACATTTCAGCATTGAAAACTATTGGGGATTCTCTGGTTGTATCCATTCTAGGAAAAAAAGTTGGAGGGGGGGAAGCCTAAGTCAAATCTAGATTTAGGAAACAGCTGGTCACTGCAGCTGCAGTTCTATGGAAAGAGAAAAAATATAAGTTAAACACTTAGGGCCTGCTCTTAGAAAGAACACTACCGCAAAACATGTTATCTGATGATTTAAAAGTGACCCTGAACATTCGCTGCTGTTTTAGGAACATCTCAAAATCTGCTCTGTCCAATCCTTCCCTACTAATTGGAGTCTGCTTAGAACAGCAAGCTATACCGAACACAGGAACTTCTGCAGAAAGGCTAATTAAAAGCTCTGAAGCCAGTTCTTTTATCTATATTATTGTGTTAATGGGGAGTCAGTCATTATTAAGGTGACCCAAAGAAGAGTAAACAAATCCCCAATCAATGCCAAGCATAAGCATAATACTTCCCTTCTGGCAACATATTTTTTTTAAAGTGAGTTGCCATATTCAATATTCACTTACTGAATGCAACATTAGCAATTGGGTTATCTCCTTGATATTAAAGGAAAAAATAGTAAACAATGAAATACAAGCTCTTGCATTTGTGACAAGAGAGAGGTGAACATCTGAACTAAGTAGCAATAATTGGTTTAAGGTTTGCTGAACAAAATCCAGAGGTGGTTTGGTACTGAGATGTAAGCGTGCAGCATTCAGTTCTGATTACTGTGAAGTCACAATAATTCCAGACAACAGAAACATACAGAACCACAGCCTTTCTAGTTCTTATTGGGGGCTGGGGCGGAGAATGGAGACGCAGTAGATTTAATTTCTCATTTATGTGCCAAATTTAAATACCCTAACTGTTCAAAACCACGCTACTGTTCAGAATGAGGGAGCTGGCTTTAGGAAGCACAAAGAATAGGAAACAGAAAAAATAATAATTATAGCAGTAATGGGGCTGGTTTACAGTTCTGGATTTATTAGGCTTGTTGGAATTCTTGCAATTTGAAGTGGAAATAAATACATACTATTTTGATTTTCTCTGAGAAAAAGAAATTTCTCCAGCAAAAGGATGTTCTCCTTCCCTTTTCTCCAAGTTCTTTTCCCTCAGAGCTGATGCCACTGTTTCAAATCTTTCTTTTTGCCCCTCTCATCTTCAGCAATTACCCAGTCCCCCCTTCCCCAAATAATTCTGACTAAAATAATCTGGCACATCTCAAAAGGAAGAATGGCTCCAAAATGGTAAAGCCTGCGCTTGTGCACAATAAGCCCCTTTCAGAATGAGCAATGGTTCAGTGCCCGTGTTGCGTTGCAAATCCAACCTCAGAAAAGGACAAAGCAAGGAGACAAGAGGACTTAATTGCTAAAGAAATGAAAGAGTAAAAAAAAAAAAAAAAAGCACATCCACCCACAAGTCAGAGACCACCCCCTGCTGCGGCCAGTGGTGGGCATGCATTCCACACATGCAAGCAAGCAAGCAAGCAAGCAAATATAGCAGCCTCCTTCCGGGTCTGTAGGGAAGGTGCAGCAGCAGCTGCTTCTGCTGCTCACTCCCCCACCCCCCAGTCCCCACCTGGAGCCACCATTTACCCACTGTCTGTGACAGGTCAATTATCTCCTGCCAAGACAAGGACAGGCGTCATAAAGGGAGAGAATGACGCCGGTAAGTCAGGAATAAGCAGCAGGAGACAGAGGGGCTCCTGCAAAGAGAATAGCCTGCTTTCATCTCTGGCCACAAAACTGTAGAGAAAATAAACCTTAGGAAGAACCTTCAGGGCAGAGATGACGCTACAGGGAACTTGGTCCAGCAGTTAACAGCAGCTGGACCTAAGAGTCTTTGATTCACCTTTTGCTAAGGTTATATGTTCTTCTGAACTTTCAGAAAGCATCTCAGGTAAGGCAAAGCTGCGGAATGGCCAGGAAGCCTGTCAGTTGAGGCTTGCCTGAAGAAGGCAAGATGGGCTTTCACTCACCTCCACCAAGGTATAGTCCGTTTCTTTCGGATGGGGGACTGCGCTGTTTCTTCAAGGGCAGCCCTCGGACAGCAGCAAGGGAAGTTGTCAGAAACAGGAGGCTCAGAATAAGCACAGCTCTGCCTCGGGCTTTAGACATCTCTTCCTCCTACTCCAGCGCAGCGCCCCTCCTTGCAAGGCTTCCCTCCTTCCCCCCCCCCCCCCGCACACCGCGAGGCAGGCGAGCAGGAAAACCGGCCGCGTCGAGCGCTTAGTCCCCCCTCGCCGGTCTTTAAACCTTTCCGAAAAAGGGGAAGGAGGCAGCCCGGGTCCTCTTGCCGCCTTTCCGCTCCTCTTTGCAAACAGTCGGAGTGAAGGGTATCAGATGAAAGAGGGAGAGAGAGAGAGAGAGAGAGAGACAAAATTGGGCGAGGGAAAGTCTTCGCCCCCTCCTCCCCACCCACCCCCCGCGGCCTTCACCCCGGCTCGCGTTTCCTCCGTCTCTCAGCTCCGCGCCGTTTTCTGAGCACCGGGTTTTATTGCCCAGCTTTGAGCTGGCGCCCCGACAGGCGCCGGTGCTGCGGGAAGGCTCTGGCGCGAGAAGAGCCGCAGACTGGAAAAGGTGCAGGAAGAAGAGGAGGAAGCGGCTCCCCTCCGGTGTGTCCCGCGGCGAGAAGTCCGATTTCTTCCGCCGCCGCTCCGGCTGTCCCCCCCCCGCACGTGGCTGTGCCGTGACGCCCAACTAATCTCAAGAAGAGGCGCTCAGATACTCCCGAAGCCGCCCAGTTTCTCCGGAGCAAAGGCGGGGGAAATGCTTCTTCTGCTCGGGAGGTGGGGAAAGGAAGAGACCCTCCGGCCGGCCGCTCTTCGGATCGCCTCAGGAACGCCGCTGCCGTCTCCTCCTCCTCATCCCGAAGCCCGGATCGTCTTCGGAAGAAACCCACGTGCCTCCGTCACCGATCCACACGTTGCCCACCTCTGGAACCCGGCCAGGCGCCGCATTGCCCGCAGCCGCCTCATCTCCCGGCCTCCGATTACCTCGGCTGCTGTGCCTGCCGCAGCTTCGGCGAGTTCCCCGCCGCTCCTTGGCCGGAGGCGTCCCATTTCCTTCGCATTTTGCAGGGTGCGCCTCACTGCCCTTCTTGCGACTCGAGCCCCCCTCGAAGACTCTCGGCGGCTCTTTGTCCTGCAGACTCTCCGGCCGCTTCTCTCGCCGACGGTTCCAAGGCTGTCGCTCCTGTGGCACTTTCGCTTCCCCCTGCCCTCCTCCCCCCCCTCACAAGTCAGCCTTTCTTGCCTGCCTAGCGCCGCCGCCTCGGTTCTTCCCCACCCCGGCGCCTTCCTCGTAGCAGCTTTAGGGCCCCCCCCCCCGCAGCCTTAGGCCCCCCCCCACCCGGTCCCTTCGCTTGTTCTTCTTGGCTCTCCTTTCCTTCCCTGGCGCCCCCGCGGCTTCCTCAGTCCGGTGCTTTCGGGGTGCTCTCGGATTTCGCGGAACGCTCCCCGTCTCCTCGCGCGCTCCCCCAGAAGCCGAGCTTCGTCTGTAGCTCTTGCTCTCCCTCCAGTGGTTTGGCTTCCCTCCACCGCAGCCTTCGGTGACGTTTGCCCGCAGGAGGATCTTTGCTCGCAGGCCCGGGCGTGAGCGCGCGACACCCCCTCTCCCAATAAAGAAAATGGAGAGGGGAAAAAATACCGGTGTGCTTCGCTCACCTGGCAACAGCTTCTGTCTGAGAGATTTTACTCCTACAACAGATTCGATTTACAATGGCTTTGGGGTCCATCTTGGTCCAAAACGTGGATCTGAGGTTTCCAAACGATTGTCTTGATTTGTGTTTTTATATGACATCTGCCAAACCGCTATATAATCACAAGTTACCGCATAAAGCCACTCATCACAAATAAAAATACAATATTAGTTGATGCTGCCAGGCTGCAAAAGCATAGATCTGGAATGTTACAATGCAATTTTTCTAAATGAAATCACAGTTGTACATAATAGTCTGATTGGTCACATCTCAGTTGCATGTATTCTGCTTATAATGAGACATAGTGATCATGTAACTGACCCTTTTGAGATCCAAATGTACAGAATAGCACAAAAGTATGTTCTGGAGCACGGATTCTTATGATTCTGTTGTGTAATTTTAAGGATCAGACTCAATAAATAGTTCAAGAATTAAGTATTCAAACATAACACTATTTATTTACAGTAGGCATTCTATATTCTCTGAATAATTGCAGATAGAAGCAAGGAGGAGGTGCATACAACTCCTTTTATATTAACAAGGCGGAGTTAAGGATGGGAGTGGTTACATGTGAATATATTAAGGGAGGAAGAATAAGTTAACCCCTAATACCCCGTGTATATACAATTCCCCTATTAGAAAATAAGGCATTTACTTGTGACAAATCCCCCTCTAAATGCCGATTCGATATACAACAATAGTTACATTCAGATTCAGAACAATACAAAACTTGTAATTTAGAAGTTAAATATTTGTGTTGTTTAGATGGCAAAGGCTTAGTCAATATGTCAGCTATTTGTTCTGATGTTTCGCAGTGAACTGCTTTAATAAATCCATCTTGAGATAATTGTCTCACGTGCTTGAACTTTATATCTATATGTCTGGAGATAGATAGATAGATAGATAGATAGATAGATAGATAGATAGATAGATGTTCAGCTATTGGTTGACTAATATGTAGAGCTGTAGTTCAAAATCTTGACTTAGCTTCTGGTTGAGATAGGCTTCATGAAAAGCTTTTGACCAATTAAATACTGGGTCTTGTATGTTACAACCATTGTCTTTTCAATTAATAACAAATGCCTTTATCTCACACAAGTCTAAATACTTTATACTAGCACAATTTATATCTAGGTGCAACTTTTTCTTAGTTCTTATTCCAAAAAGGTTAGGGTTAGAAGTTTATAAAAACAAATTCACAATAAAATAAAATCTACAACAAAATAATAGAAAGGCAGATCTGTAATGAATAATTAATTCTAATCAAGTGGAACTTTTGTCTGACTGTAGGCATGGAAAGGATGGAGTCTACAAATGTCCCCGAACAAGGCTCTTTTTTAAATATAGGCTTACGGCATTTTTAGTTCACATACTGGTGTTCTCTTACAGAGAAACCCAGGAATATCACAAAAGCTTTATTTATTTTCTCTGTAGAATAAAATAAATGAGGCTTGATATACAAACAAGCATTACAAATCTCTTATTCCAGTTCATGGTTTAGGGGAAATCCCTTCCTTTTCCTCAGTTCTTGATTTCGATATGTTCAGGGATATCTTACAGTTCTCCATTTCTTGAAGGCAGTGAATATATTGCTTTTTGGGACATTCACAGTGAATGCAATATCCTTGTAAAAGGAGACTTTCCAGGTGGACAACATGAGGAAGCCACTTCATCCATGGCAATCCATTTGCCTCAATACATCCCAGATGAAAAAACCCTTTGCTGACTTCAAAGGTTAGCATGTTTTCCCAATTTCCTGTACTGGTGCAGCCCAGCAGCTGAAGAATGCAAGCTTCGCCACCTGGGAGCAGCTGCTGGACAGAAAGCCAGCCAAAAGATTTGTGTCAAACACAAACAGCAGCTGCAGAACAAACAGTGCTCACCTAACTGGCTTTTGGCAGCAAGAAACATTTCAGCATTGAAAACTATTGGGGATTCTCTGGTTGTATCCATTCTAGGAAAAAAAGTTGGAGGGGGGGAAGCCTAAGTCAAATCTAGATTTAGGAAACAGCTGGTCACTGCAGCTGCAGTTCTATGGAAAGAGAAAAAATATAAGTTAAACACTTAGGGCCTGCTCTTAGAAAGAACACTACCGCAAAACATGTTATCTGATGATTTAAAAGTGACCCTGAACATTCGCTGCTGTTTTAGGAACATCTCAAAATCTGCTCTGTCCAATCCTTCCCTACTAATTGGAGTCTGCTTAGAACAGCAAGCTATACCGAACACAGGAACTTCTGCAGAAAGGCTAATTAAAAGCTCTGAAGCCAGTTCTTTTATCTATATTATTGTGTTAATGGGGAGTCAGTCATTATTAAGGTGACCCAAAGAAGAGTAAACAAATCCCCAATCAATGCCAAGCATAAGCATAATACTTCCCTTCTGGCAACATATTTTTTTTAAAGTGAGTTGCCATATTCAATATTCACTTACTGAATGCAACATTAGCAATTGGGTTATCTCCTTGATATTAAAGGAAAAAATAGTAAACAATGAAATACAAGCTCTTGCATTTGTGACAAGAGAGAGGTGAACATCTGAACTAAGTAGCAATAATTGGTTTAAGGTTTGCTGAACAAAATCCAGAGGTGGTTTGGTACTGAGATGTAAGTGTGCAGCATTCAGTTCTGATTACTGTGAAGTCACAATAATTCCAGACAACAGAAACATACAGAACCACAGCCTTTCTAGTTCTTATTGGGGGCTGGGGCGGAGAATGGAGACGCAGTAGATTTAATTTCTCATTTATGTGCCAAATTTAAATACCCTAACTGTTCAAAACCACGCTACTGTTCAGAATGAGGGAGCTGGCTTTAGGAAGCACAAAGAATAGGAAACAGAAAAAATAATAATTATAGCAGTAATGGGGCTGGTTTACAGTTCTGGATTTATTAGGCTTGTTGGAATTCTTGCAATTTGAAGTGGAAATAAATACATACTATTTTGATTTTCTCTGAGAAAAAGAAATTTCTCCAGCAAAAGGATGTTCTCCTTCCCTTTTCTCCAAGTTCTTTTCCCTCAGAGCTGATGCCACTGTTTCAAATCTTTCTTTTTGCCCCTCTCATCTTCAGCAATTACCCAGTCCCCCCTTCCCCAAATAATTCTGACTAAAATAATCTGGCACATCTCAAAAGGAAGAATGGCTCCAAAATGGTAAAGCCTGCGCTTGTGCACAATAAGCCCCTTTCAGAATGAGCAATGGTTCAGTGCCCGTGTTGCGTTGCAAATCCAACCTCAGAAAAGGACAAAGCAAGGAGACAAGAGGACTTAATTGCTAAAGAAATGAAAGAGTAAAAAAAAAAAAAAAAAGCACATCCACCCACAAGTCAGAGACCACCCCCTGCTGCGGCCAGTGGTGGGCATGCATTCCACACATGCAAGCAAGCAAGCAAGCAAGCAAATATAGCAGCCTCCTTCCGGGTCTGTAGGGAAGGTGCAGCAGCAGCTGCTTCTGCTGCTCACTCCCCCCACCCCCCAGTCCCCACCTGGAGCCACCATTTACCCACTGTCTGTGACAGGTCAATTATCTCCTGCCAAGACAAGGACAGGCGTCATAAAGGGAGAGAATGACGCCGGTAAGTCAGGAATAAGCAGCAGGAGACAGAGGGGCTCCTGCAAAGAGAATAGCCTGCTTTCATCTCTGGCCACAAAACTGTAGAGAAAATAAACCTTAGGAAGAACCTTCAGGGCAGAGATGACGCTACAGG